AAATATAATTTAAAAACACTCTTTAACACTTTTAACAACTTGAGAACACAACGTTCGCAAACGACGATAAAGCCTAACTGAACAAAACCTGTACTTACACTCCCTTTACGATTACTTGACCTCAATAAGGTTTCTAGGAAATAGATAAATTATTCGGAACCGACTAAGGTACGCATTTTACGTTTCAATTATAATCATTAATAGAAGTTTCTCAGAAGTTGGGTTTTTGTTAGATGTCCTCCTAAATTTGAATTTTTGACCACTGTGCGTGGGTAAGTTTACAGATGGGAATTTGCTAAATGAATTTACTTTAGAGCAAATAGCAATAGAAGTAATAGAAGGATTATCAAATATAAAAATAGGCAAGGCAGGTGGAGATGATGAAATAAACTGGCTATGGATATACACTCTAAGAGGCGTGGGCAAAACAAACAATCCCTAAAGACTGGCAGAAAAATATCATCCTGCCAATATGCAAAAAAGGAGAACATGTAAACTGCGACAACTATAGAGCAATATGTCTGTCATCGGTATGCTTTAAAATATATACGAAAATAATAGAGAAGAGACTGAGACAAGAAGTAGAAATGGTATTGGGAGAAGAACAAACGGCATTTAGACCGGGAAGACAGACAAATGACAACATATATATCATTAGAAACCTAATAGAAAGAAGCATAGATACGGGGGAAAACTAGTATTAGCATTCATAGACCTAAGAGCAGCATTTGATACGATAGAAAGACATATTATGGGGAAATGCTTGAGGAAAATAAATGTACCTAATACATTGATAAAAATTATAAAAAGTACTTACAAAGAGGTAAAAGGAAGGGTACAAATAACAGGGGAAAGATCGGAAGCATTTAATTGGAAGAGAGGTATTAAACAAGGAGATAGTCTCAGCCCTTTGCTATTCATAATAGTAATGAAAGAATTGATGAGAAACACTAGAGTCAGAACTAATCAACTACAGACAATAATAGGTTACCACAGATTACAACCGGTAACAATAGAGTCCTTAATGTATGCAGACGACATAGTACTAATAGAAGATTCCGAGAATAAAATGCAGAAACTAATGGATATATGGGTAGAACAAATAGAAGAACTAACAATGGAGATAAACGAGGAAAAAAGTAAGATAATGATAATCAGCGGCAAAGGAGATAAGGAAGATAATCAAATAAAAATAAAATGTAAAAACTCAGAATTGGAAATAGTAACAACTTACGAATACCTGGGAAGTATAATAACTAATGACAAAAAAATAGACTGGGAAATAACAAATAGAGCAAAGAAATCAAACAAGTTATACTATGCGTTAGCCCCAATAATGGGAAAAAGAGAACTTGCACGAGAAACAAGAATAAAAATATATAATGCAATAGTGATACTCACTGTGCTCTATGCAAGTGAAAACTGGATAATTCTGGAAAAACATAAGAGCAGGATAAACGGAATGGAGATGAGACATCTAAAAAGGATAGTTGGAAAGACAAAATAGGACAGATTAAGCAACGAGACTGTTAGGAGAATGGCCAACCAGGGACCGATAATAAACAAAATAGCAAAGAGATAAAGAAAATGGTATGGGCATCTAATGAGGATGCAATTAAATAGAATAACAAGAAAAGTTTATGAAGCAAAAAACATCGGAAAAAGAAAAAGAGGCAGACCAAGAAAAAAATGGAAACAGCAAGTAGTAGAGGCAGGAAAACTTAACCAAAAATCACTCGAGGAATTGAAAATAATGGCAGGAAACAGAAAAGAATGGAAGATATGGGTAAATGGAAATTAAAATAGCTAGCCCAAATGCGACATCCTGATAGGGTAAAAGGAAGGGGAGAAAGAAAGAGAAAGAAAAGTTCCATTATACAATTTGAAATTTATGTAATTTTAGTAAATTTTAATTGTTATTGTTATTTCTTGGACTTTTTGTAAGCTTTGTCCATAAAATTGTACAATTTTCAGTGACAATAAGCATATTTCTATTCTATTCTAACAAATCGTTCTACAAACAGGTACCAAATTATTTCAAAACTTATAAGTCACACTGTGGTGAAGTGGTAGGATTACACCATTACTCCAAAAAAGTATATTTAAGTATGTTGAGCTGGGTATATAGTATCCGATGGCTAATCTTAATACTTTCCAATTCACTTAATTAATTCCAAGAAAAACAAAAAGATATAAAATCGAGTGGTTCGATACCAAGTGCAAGAAAGCCATCAATATGAGAAGAAAGGGAAAAAATACTTACAGAGAGGACAAGAGAAGGATAGGACTAAATTTGAAAGGTAAAAAAGAACGGCAAAAAGTATCTATATATCAAGAAAACCAAAGTTCATTAAGAAAAACAGAGAAAATAGAAACGCGCCTTATACAGAAAGAAGATAAGATTTTTTTCCGAAATAACAGCTGTGCATAAGGAAAAAGGCCCCGTTTTATAAATAGCAAAAACGGAAAATTAATAGCAGATAAAAACAGAATTATAAATAGATGAAAGGAATAGTTTGAAGAAGTACTAAATGCAGACATTACATCTACATACAAATCATACCGAAGAAAATTTAAACGATGAAATAATCATCCATCCACCATACATCATGTAAGAATCCGGGAGAAAATGGAATAAACCCAGAACTTATTGAATATGGAGGAGAAAAATAATACCAGATCTCGAAATCATCGAAATCTGATGTTATAAGCGCATTTTAAAAATTTGATGGGTGGCCTGGATGACTGATGTTAAGGTTGTAAGTAGAATGGGGAAGGAATACGATATTCGAAGGAATACGAAGAAATACGATACGATATACAATATACGGCAACAGTGTACTAAGCAGATAAAAGTAAATTTTTTCTCCAACTAAAACCCCAAATATCGCGATTAGTAGCGAAAAATAATGTACGGTTTGTTTACATATGTCATTTAAAAAGGCTTCGTAATACCGGAGTGAGACATTTCTGAAAAAAAAAACTCGCTTTCAGCAAAAACTAGTGTTTGAAGTGATAAGAGTAAAGCTATTTATAATTCGAAACAGTTATTCTGATGGAACACTGGCCGTTAGTTTTGCGACGTTTCTAAAGTTAAAAATAATTCTGTTGAGGACTGATAGGAACTGGATTTTTGAGCGGTTGAAAAAGAAATATCATAGTATGTACATAATTACGGGTCTACCAATAATGGCAACAGATGAAACACTCTTAAAAAAATAACGTAAAAGATTTTATACAAAAGCACCTAAAAGAGCATGTCGAAATAGAATCTACAATGAAGGTAAAAAACAATATATGTCTGGTACAAATGAAGGGTTATGGCTTAAAAATTATGGTAATGAAAGAAAAAAGCAAACTCAGATTTCTTACTGGAGAACAGAGCTTTGTCAACGATGACCTGATCGAAAAGGAAAGACACATGAGGCAGGAAATCATAAATAAAGGCAAGGAATTAAGAGCTGAAGGTAAAAACGTGAAGATAAAAAACTAACTGTGGATGGCATAAAATGGGAATGGGCCGGAAATGGTACTTTCAAACGAGAAAATTCTAGAAAAATGAGCCAAGCATGGGAAAGAAAGGTACTTCGCAGAATGTTTGGTGGAAAAGTAGTAGAGGGAGAATGACAGCAGATCGAACTAATGCAGAAGTGTACCATTTGTATGCTAACCCTACAATAACAAAAGTGGTGAAAAAACCTAGACTATAATGGCTCGGACATGTAGAAAGAATGCAAGGTAATAGACTAGTCAAGAATATTGCTTGGAGAGTACCTGAGAGCGCAAAAAAAAAGAAAGAAAGAACAAGAAAGAAATGGAGAGATGTAGTAATGGAAGATGTCAGAGAGATGGGAATCAAAGATTGGACACCAATAGCTAAGAAGAGAAAACGAAGGAAATTATCCATCCAGCAATGGGCCTAAAAGACCTGTTAATGCTGTACCTACATACATATCAAGAAATACAATCAAAGAGACATTTATTTAGAATATTTGATCCATGTTATGATATATGAGTGGAGATATGACTTGTTACAACTCCGAAATGGCATCCGAATAAACAACTTGAGATATGCCGATGACACGGTACTAATCGCAGAAACTTGGGAAGATCTTTAAATACTAATTAACAAAATAGTAGAATGCAGTGAAGAACACGGATTATCACTTAACATAAGCAAAACAAAAATAATGCTAATATCTAAATCACCACAAAACTTCCCTGACATAACCGTGCATGATCAAAGAATCGAACGTGTAAGAAGATATAATTACCTGGGAACTGTTATCAACGAAAATAATGATTGCTCTGAAGAAATCAGAACCAGAATAGAGAAAGCTAGAGCCACATTTACTAAATTGAAAAAGGTGTTCTGCGGAAGAGATCTAAGTCTAAAACTTAAAATTCGCCTTTTGAGATGTTACGTTATGTCACTTCTCCTCTACGGGATGGAAACATGGACATTGAAAAAGATCGATACCAAAAAGATAGAAGCATTTGAGTTGTGGATGTATCGTAGAATATTAAGAATACCCTGGACAGAGAAAGTAACAAATGTGGACGTTTTGCGGAGAGTGCAGAAAGAGAAAGAGCTGATACTTACTGTTAAAAAGCGCAAACTACAATATTTGGGACATGTTATGAGGGGAGATAAATACCAGTTGCTGCAATTGATTATACAGGGAAAGATAATGGGAAAGAGATCTATAGGAAGAAGAAGGCATTCATGGTTGAAAAACTTGAGAGAATGGTACAATTGCACCAATTACCAACTGTTTAGATCTGCAGCATCAAAAATACGCATAGCTTTGATGATAGCCAAACTTCGGAACGAAGACGGCACTTGAAGAAGAAGAAGATAATTTTAAAATGTACCTCAGCTCTAATATACACGCTTATAAACCAAAGAGAAAATCATTTAAAAATCATATCTTCCGTGTCGAATAACGTGAATAACCAAGAATATAGTGGTAAATGATATAACTGTTATAAATACTTACATTTTACATTCCTTAGGTTCCCTAGAAACAGGTACCACTGCCGCTGGACTTCTATCAGGACTGAGCAATCTATCGGGCAAAATTTTTTCAATGTCTAAATTCCCCTCCGAGTACGGACAATGGTTTTGAGTAGAATGTGTTGCAAATTTTGGACCTTTTATGTGACCTTGTCCTCTACAACCTACTGTTGGGCACTCCAAAAAATCGTAGACGTCGTCAGGTGCTGCAAACATTAAGTACAGTTAATAAGAGATAAACATCATTAACCATATAATACTCACTTAGAGGAGGTTCGATCGGATGTCCAGTTTTCTGGCACCATCCCACCGGGTGTATGTCGGGGCTGTCGTCGTCTACCCAATAGCTATACCTGTCGATCCACCCGTCGAAATGGATTCGAATTTGATGTTCTTTGACATCCTCCACCGTTGCTACCCTTATCAATTGAGGAACCCGCCGGTCCACGCATTCGAGTCGCATCCCTCTCTTAAACCCGCAAGCAGGTCGTTGTTTGAAAGCTCGAACTGGCGCCGCCACTGCTTTCCTTTCTTTGAGATATACTTCCCATGAGAAGGATTCTGGATTTGGATAATCTGAAAAATCGTTTTTTTTTAAGACACACAACACAACAATAACATTATTACATATATAAGATAAGATAAGATAAGATACAGAATAATCCGTGGAAACTGACAGCGGGTCCAGATGGTATACCAATGTATTTTATTAAAAAATGTGTATTCACTCTTGCTAAACCTATTCAGTTATTATTCAATAAGTCATTAACTTCTTCTACATTTCCTGATTTTTGGAAAGTGAGTTTTTTAAAACCTATTTTTAAATCTGGTCAAAATAATAATGTTGAAAATTACAGGGCTGTTTGTTTGCAGTCTGAACTACCAAAGTTGCTTGATTTTTTTGTTAACCATATGTTAACCTACGATTGTAAAAATTTAATTCTCGGTCAACAACATGGTTTCTATCAAAAGAAATCTACTTGTACAAATCTTATTTTGTATTCAAACTTCATTGTTGATTCTATGGAATCGGGAAACCAAGTTGACTCCATATATGCTGATTTTGCCAAAGCATTTGACAGGGTAAATCACGAAATATTAATTGCTAAACTTCGTGGATACGGAATTGGATATAATTTATTAGGTTGGATCACGAGTTATTTAACAGATCGTTCACAAATAGTAAAATATGGTGATTTTGTTTCTGAAGCGATTAATGTTACTTCGGGTGTACCTCAAGGTTCTCACTTAGGCCCACTTCTATTTAATCTGTTTGTGAATGATATATCATCAGTAATTAATAATAGTGAATTTCTATTGTTTGCCGATGACAAACATTTTTAAAGCAATTAAAAATACCTCTGATATGGATGCTTTTCAGTCTGACTTAAATAATCTATCTCGTTGGTGTGACATTAATGCCTTATATTCAAATATAAAAAAGTGCTATAAAATTACTGTTTTCCATAAATACTAAACATCAGTCATATAGAACATACATACTTAAGGGAGTATCGATTACAGAAGTAAATCAAATTAGACACCTTGGAATTACATTTGACCAAAGTCTAATGTTTGATAGGCATATTAATAATATTACATCGCAGGCTTATAGAATGCTCGGCTTTGTTCAAAGGAACTCCCGAGAATTTTCAATATTTACTTTCAAAATTTTGTATTGTTCTCTAGTTCGGTCCATTTTGGAATATTGTAATATTATTTGGTATCCATATTATATGTATATTGATCAGTTGGAAAGAGTTCAAAATAAATTCCTAAGAATTTGCAGGTATAAAATGGGTTTTAATAGAACTAACTGTGATTCTAACTATATTCTTTGTCAACTTAATATGAAAACTTTAGAAAATAGAGAATCTGAGTGTGAATTGCGTTTTTTGCATAAAATTCTTAATGGTTATGTTGATTGTCCGGAACTGCTGGAATTAATTGATTTTAATGTAAATTCTAGAAGAACACGCTCTCCTGACCTGTTTAGACTTACAGATGATACAAATGAGTATTTTTCGGTAACAGTTACGATACGTTCCAGTTCCATGTTCGTACCTGTTCCAAATACTAGTTACTTTTTAACCTAGTATTTTTACATTTGTATGCCGCGCCATGTCTTTTTTCTAATTTTTTCTAATGTTTTACATAAATTTATATTTTGTATTTTGTTAACTACTCGTGTATTATTTTTTCAAAACGATCTTATTGTTTTTTTTTTGTTTTAATTTTTGTGTTAGGTACACTTATCTAGTTTATTTTATTAAATAGTAAATAATAATTTATATACTCTTTTATTTTAGTTTTATGGAAAATATGTATAAAATCAAACAAACAAAACCAACAAAATCAAACTCAAACAAAATCAAATTAAAAAGCTTCTAAAATAATATACTAACAACAAGGGACCAATATTATGACAGATTTAATACGTTTAATTTCACATCTTGCATACACCACCGTAATAATCACGATGTCCGAACCACCAATCCTCAGTAACTACAGAACTATTACCTACTCAAAAAATATAACTGATCCTCGTGCGTATCGGTATCCAAAATACCAATACCAAAATATCGATATCAAAGCGCAGCGCAGGTATCGAATATCGACGTTATTGTGTTGTGTACAGTAACAGTACCAGTTATAGTTACCAGGCTTGATCAATTCCGTGTCCGTCGTGTCGTTGAAAAAATCTAAATGGAACTGGAACTAGTATTTTGGAAAACCGGTAACTGTTACGTTACGTTATATGCTCATACCTATTACCAAATACTTGTTCCTAGTATTTCGTATCATCTCTAACTACAAACTAGAACTATTACCTACTCAAAAAATATAACTGATCCCCGTGCGTATCGGTATCCAAAATACCAATACCAAAATATCGATATCAAAGCGCAGCGCAGGTATCGAATATCGACGTTATTGTGTTGTGTACAGTAACAGTACCAGTTATAGTTACCAGGCTTGATCAATTCCGTGTCCGTCGTGTCGTTGAAAAAATCTAAATGGAACTGGAACTAGTATTTTAGAAAACCGGTAACTGTTACGTTACGTTATATGCTCATACCTATTACCAAATACTTGTTCCTAGTATTTTGTATCATCTCTAAATCTATGTTCCTGTAATTGGCTGTATACCATATATTAAAAAAAAATATTAAAAAACCTTTATAAAAGGTATATATTTAAAAACCCCAACGGGCTAATTATACAAAACGTTTTCGGAATCCATATTCCATCATCAGTATCTAGGAGTACATGAATGTACCACAAAATATATGGGTAAAAACTCGTTAACAAATAATTAGTTACATTATTTTGCGCCCACAGCATATTTCGCCCACACTATTTTTCGCCCACACTATTTTGCGCCCACATAATTTTGCGTCCACACCATTTTTCGCCCACACCGTTTTTCGCCCACACCATTTTTCGCCCACACCATTTTGCGCCCACGCCATTTTTCGACCACATTATTTTGCGCCCACACCATTTTTCGCCCACACCATTTTTCGCCCACACCATTTTGCACCCACACCATTTTTCGCCCACATTATTTTGCGCCCACACCATTTTTCGCCCACACCTGTTTTCGCCCACACCATCTTGCGCCCACACCATTGTTTGCCCACACCAGTTTTCGCCCCCAACAGTTTTCGCCCACATTATTTTGCGCCCACACCATTTTTCGCCCACACCATTTTGCGCTCACACCATTTTGCGTCCCCAGCGTTTTTTGCCCACACCATTTTTCGCCACACCATTTCGCGCCCACACCATTTTTCGCCCACACCATTTTTCGCCCACACTACTTTTCGCCCACACCATTTTGCGCCCACACTTTTGCGACCACATCATTTTGCGTCCACACCATTTTTCGCCCACACCTTTTTTTGCCCACACCATTTTTCGCCCACACCATTTTGCGCCCACACCAAATTTGGCCCACACCAGTTTTCGCCCACATTATTTTGCGCCTACACCATTTTTCGCCCACACCATTTTGCGCCCACACCTGTTTTCGCCCACACTATTTTGCGCCCACACCATTGTTCGCCCACGCTATTTTGCGCCCACACCATTTTGCGCCCACACCATTTTGCGCCCACACCATTTTTTGCCCACACCATTTTGCGCCCACATCATTTTGCACCCACACAATTTTGGGTCCACACAACTTTGCGTCCACACCATTTTGCGCCCACATCATTTCGCGCCGCACTTGGCGCACAACAAGCACATATCTTGAAAAACACCCCCATTCCTATAACGTTAAAGAAAAAGGTATATAACACATGCATACTACCAGTTTGTACCTACGGCTTGGAGACAGTAGCACTTACCAAAAAATCTGCCAAAAAATTAGAAACAACGCAAAGAGCAATGGAACGAATCATGCTTGGAATATCACTAAGAGACAAGATTAGAAACACCGAGATAAGACGTAGAAAGAAGATTAGGGATATTGTGGAAGAAATTACAAAAATGAAATGGCGCTGGGCAAGTCACGTAGCCCGATATAATGAAAACAGGTGGACACAGAGAATTCTAGAATGGAGACCAAGGACGACAACAAGAAGCATGGGAAGACCTCAAAAAAGATGGGTAGATGACATAAGAGCAGTGGCAGGCAAACAGTGGATTAGATTGGCGCAAGATATAGAAAGATGGAAGCAATTGGGAGAGACCTACATTCAGGAGTGGATGGAAAATGGTTGACAAAGAAGAGAAGAAGAAGTATTAAACAAATGGTGTTTTATAAAGTTAAATATTGACTCAAAGGGTACTTTGTGAATTGTCTGGTTGTAGCATAACATAAAGATGATATATTTACATCTACTGGTAAACTTACTTTAAAAATAAACATTTTCGAGTTATCTATTTTTTTGAGGTGACGTATATTATAAAAGTGGATTCTCGAGTTGATCAATTCCGTGTCCGTCGTGTCGTTGAAAAAATCTAAATGGAACTGGAACTAGTATTTTGGAAAACCGGTAACTGTTACGTTACGTTATATGCTCATACCTATTACCAAATACTTGTTCCTAGTATTTCGTATCATCTCTAACTACAAACTAGAACTATTACCTACTCAAAAAATATAACTGATCCCCGTGCGTATCGGTATCCAAAATACCAATACCAAAATATCGATATCAAAGCGCAGCGCAGGTATCGAATATCGACGTTATTGTGTTGTGTACAGTAACAGTGCCAGTTACAGTTACCAGGCTTGATTCATTCCGTGTCGGTCGTGTCGTTGAAAAAATCTAAATGGAACTGGAACTAGTATTTTAGAAAACCGGTAACTGTTACGTTACGTTATATGCTCATACCTATTACCAAATACTTGTTCCTAGTATTTTGTATCATCTCTATTTAGACTAAAGTTTGATCACACTAATTATGGTAAAAGTGAGTCAATCACAAGGATGTTGAGAACTGCCAATAATTTGCAAGATAGTGTTGAATTGTTTAATTTATCCGTGTCCTCGTTCAAGAATAGTTTAAAGAAATTGAGACATTAATGTTATTAATACCTTTTAAAATTGTAATATATGACTACAGTTTATATGTTAATTATATGTGTATATTGTAATTTTTGTAAGGAAAAAGGGTTCATCCCGTTAAATAAACAAACAAACAAACAAACATATGTTTCAAATGAAAGGGGATGGTGGCTTCCGCAGTTTTATTTATAAAATTAATTAACAATAAGAAAACAACACATATAAACGCAACGCTATTGTAGCATTTTCTTTTTCCCAAAGTAGGTCACCAAAATCGATATGGTTAATACATTATCATTCTGGTTTTACAACCCTGCGTGGTTCCTAGCCTCCTCAAAAATTTTTCTCTAGTCGTCCCTATTCATCGCCTTTCTTCGTCAAGCACTTATTCCCATATTTCTAAGGTCTTCATCGATGTTATCAAGGAACCTTGTTCTAGGTCATCCTCTTCTCTGACCAATGGGTCTATCAAGGAGTGTTTTTCTAGCTGGCTCATTTTGTTCTATCCGCATTACATGTCCTATCCACCTCAGTTGTCCTATCTAGAAGTTGTATCGTTTCTCCACACTCCATTGTCATTCACTGCTCCATAGATTCGCCTTAGTACTTTTCTTTCGAAGCATCATAACATTTTTTCATTATTTTTTGTTAAAGTCGAGGTCTCTGGACCTGGACTTTAACATATATGTTTATAACCAAAGAATAGATGGAGTGAGAAGGAGAGACAGACCCAGAGCACGATTTAAGGATCAGGTGGAGGAAGACTTGAGAATGTTGGGAGCCACCATGTGTTGTGGAGCCAATGATGATGATGAGTATTATTTTTAGTGTTAAGGAGCGCTCCCAGGTATACAAATTCGTTCACTGCTTCGATGTCGTCGTTTTCTATAACAAGTGGTCGTAGGATTTGTGGTTGCGTGCTTATTTTTATATACTTGGTTTTGTTGGTGTTCCTCTGTGGTTAGAACATTCAAAGATATATCTTTTTTGTGTATGGTGCAAAGTATTCCAATATTCCAATCATTTCTTTTATAAGCTGCTGTAACGCCATTATGGTATTATTGCCACCTTGTTTATATATTTCACATGGGAGAATATCTACTCCTTACGTAATGATTATTATATTATTGCGTTTTAAAATAAAAGACTAAACAGACATCTTCAAAAGTTTGTTTACTTTAGCGGAAAGTTGTTTTCGAAGGGGAGAACTATCTACTCCCTCTTTCTAATCCGGTCTTTTCTCTTTCTGTTCTGATTACAGAAAATTTAAAAATATTAGCAGAGTTTTTAAATAAAATTTGACGAAATGTAGAGTTTTACTTCGTACTATGCATTAGAAGAACACTTGATGACCCTGAGATTGTTTATCGGTTTAGGAAAATTGGTGAACAAGAGACTTAGTTAGTGGTAAGCAGAGGAAGACTTTGCCTATTAAAGTGCGTGTTATAAGAGCACTTGAAAGTAGTCGAAAAATTGATGATGTATGTCGGCAATTTGGACCTGTTAATTCGAATCTCGACTCAATTATAAAAAACAAGGATAAAATTTTAAATTTTAATGAGGGAGAAAATTTTAAAAAGATTAGGAAGGGCATTCGTGCTGATGCAGATTCAGCTCTACTTCCTGTGTTCGGACCACTTTTAAAGGAAAAGGCTAGAGTTTGGAAAACTGTTTGGTGAATATTTCACATGCTCTAACGGCTGGCTAAATCGGTTTAAAGCCCGGCACTCAATTTTCTGAAAATTCTTGGAGAGGCAAAATGTGTGGACGAGAACGTGACAGGTGATTAGTTACAAAAAACATGACCACAACTAAGGCAACCACACAAGGATGAAGATATCTTCAATGACGATGAAACTTGTGTCGTTTACAAATTAACACCAGACAAAACTTTAAATTTCAAAAATCAAAAATATGTGGTAGAAAGCTTTCAAAACAAAGAGTCATGGCTTTTGTTTTATTGAGAAAAGTTTCCATCTTAGATGTTTCAAAAACATAAAAACACGCCAACAAAGAAGCGTGGATGACTTCTTTTTTTCTGATAAGAGAAAAAATTTTCTCTTAGTTGTCAACTGTGAAGCCCATCTCAAGCTTAATTTGACCAATATCAACTTAGTTTTCTTACCAGCCAACTGCACAAGTGTCTTGCAGCCTATAGACCAAGGAGAATAGGAAGTTTAAAGTGACACTACCGGAAAAAGCTTTTGAAAGGATGATGTTTTCTTATCAGCGAACTGCACAAGTGTCTTGCAGCCTATAGACCAAGGAGAATAGGAAGTTTAAAGTGACACTATCGGAAAAAGCTTTTGAAAGGATGATGTTTTCTTATCAGCCAACTGCACAAGTGTCTTGCAGCCTATAGACCAAGGAGAATAGGAAGTTTAAAGTGACACTGTCGGAAACAGCTTTTGAAAAGGATGATTTATTGTATATACAATGGGGAACCCGTGAACATTACCATCCTTGACGCAGTTCAGTTTTTAGACAATTCGTGGCGTGCGGTTACGTCAGTGATAATTTGTAAGTGCTTTTGTCAAGAGTGACTGTAGTTTCTCCCAATATTCAGGATGTTGACGAGGATGACGAAATGGCTTTGTCAGAGTGGATACAAAAATTTAGGGTACACCATTGAGAGCTTGGAACTGATCTTGACTCCTATATTTCAGTAGACGACCAGGTAAAAACATTTCAAGTTTTAAGTGATAAAGAAATTGTGGAACAAGTGCAAAATGTGGAAATGGATGTTAATGAAGATAATGATGAAGACGACGTTGATTGTCCTAAAATCAAAGAAGCAATGAGAGCTGCTGAGGTCATATTCAGGTTTAACCAGTTCAGGAAGGCATCCATAACTACCAAATAAGCAGCTCAGATTATTAAGGACATTACAGAAAAACTTTATTTTTCAGAAAGGGTTGTGCAGAAAAAAATAACTAACTTTTTTCAGCATTAGAGAACGTTTTCATAAAAAATATAAGTTTCACATACATGATATGTTTTATTTATTAATTTTTTTATCCTAAATACATATGTAATAATAAATAATGCTCTAATAAAATTTTTCCTCATTAAAATTTTATTTTTTTTTTCTACCTCTTTTATAACATCACTCTGATATAGTGTCATTTTTTTTACTGGATCCTTCAATGACACTATAACCAAGTTCCAATGAATACATATTTTAAAATAGCAAATTTTTTAATTTATAATTCAATCCAATTGGATTATTATAAAACAGACACCAGAGTAGCCACAAACACAAGATCATGAGAATAAATAAAAGTGCCAGACTCTACAGATTTCCCATACCAACAATTTAAGCTGTTAAGTTCTACCATGCTGAAGAATTCATCGTGAAAATTACAAGTATGACATTTATGAGACTTTCATTAGCAGCTGGTTTTACACCAATACCATATCAAACAATATTTTTTTAAAATGCAATGTATATTTTTCCTCAGCAATACTTAGTTATGATAAAAGATCATCAAGTTTAGTAACTCTGCAGCATTAACACATTTAACCACATGTGCATCATGTTTTAGCAGCATGTTTTTACTAGGTGTCATTCTGTTTGGGCTTAAATGTATGAAAATTATGAACACGGAAAATAAATAATTATAAATTAAATTTATAAAATAATTGTCAGTCGTCATCATAATGTTGTTATTTTAAATATACAAATTTGTATTAAAAATCAATAGATGTATAAAAAAATTAGTTTACCATTTGGAGGAGTAAGATTATGTCCATACTGATCGCACCAGCCTACCGGATGAATGTAAGGTGAAGTGGGATCAGCCCAATAATCATAAATGTCGTCCCAACTATCAAAATGCACCAATATCCTGTTGTCCATCATATCTCTTACAGTCGCAACACAAACAAGTGAAGTATTTTTTCGATCTACAGCCTCTAGTTTCATACCAACTCTAAATCCATTAGGACATATTGCCTGAAAATCAAAAAGAAATTGATAAGTAATATTTATTACAACATAAGTCAGTGTTGTATTCTCTTAAAGACAATTTAACTTTTTGCATTCATTTTTTAGAGATAAATTTGAGGCTTACGTTTTTAGTTACAACTTATTGGTTAGGAGATAAAAACGATATAAAAAAGAACAATCAGATCTTTAAGTTACTAAAAATAACAAACAACTAAAATTTTATCTGCATTAAAATTCACAGAACATCTAGACAAGAAGATGTACTGGTACAGCCATGTAGCCCTGGAAAAACTTTTGGATGATACAACTCTAGAAAATGGATGAGCAATATTAATTCATAAAATATTTTTTACACACTATACATCTAGACAGTATAATTAGTCAAAAGTGTTTCAGTGGCATTATCTATAGACAATATTATTAAGGTAATATGTTAACTAAATATAATTGATAATTAAAAAACTCACCTGGCCAGCTCTATTGGCAAAAAGATGCTTTGGTGCAGAAGTACTTTTTGTCTGTTTCAAATACTGCACCCAGTTGAAATTTTCAATGGTATATCCTGAAGGTGGTTGAAGTACATGGCCATATTTTTCGCACCATCCCATTGGGAAAATATCCATGCTGTCAGCATTACACCAGAAGTCATAATTTTCGGGGTAACCATCAAAGTGTAACCTAATTCTATAACCAACAACTTCAACAACAGTAAGGACACAGAAATAGGAAGGATGTTGTGGATCTACTCCTTCGAGTTTCATGCCAGGTCTAAAACCATTTCGTGCATAAGGGAAGGGATCTTTAAATAGTTTTACAGGGGCAGGTTTGGCTTTGACATGTTCTAGATATTTGGACCAAGAAAATCCCTTTTTCTTACATGCCCATGGATATGACATAGATTTATCTTGAGAAGAGTTATCAATAGAATCCTCATCGCTATCTTCATCTTTTCCTAATTTTATAGTATCTGCCTCTACCTTAGGTTTTTTCTTTTTCTTTTTAATAAATTTGTCATTTTTATCTTTTTTGGTGCTTTTATTTTGGAAGACATCTTGACAATCAAAACTGCAAAATTTAGGATTGATAAACTCAGAGGATAAACCATAACAACCACATTCCAAACACCTCATTTCTTCTTGAAACTCCCCTTTTATTTTTTCTTTTGCTTTGACTATTCGTTTTTCAATAAGATCTTTGTATTCATTTTCGGTGATGTATTCAACTAAATTAAATTCATTTATTATAAATTTAATTTCAGTTCCAGGCAATGTGCCTATGCCATCATCCCAATGAAGAACTTTTTGAAGATCACAATCTTCAACTTTCATAACTGGTGGATTTTCTTTTATTAATTCTATTTCAACTTCGCTTGTTAAGTTTTTCTTTGACTCCTCTAATGAAGGGCATTTATTATTATTAAGAGGTGATTTTTCAAGATTTTGTTTTTCAAAAGATGGTTTGGAAATTACTTCATTTCCATATGCATCAGTAGAAGTTACTTCCATTTCATCATATTCCTTAATGCATGTTAATGTTGATTTACGTCTTCTTTCTTTTTCAGGTTTTGGTGGGGCAGGTATTGTTATTATAATATTATCCATTTCACTTCGGTTTGGTTTTGAAATAAGAACTTCTTTATTTTCTGAAACTGAAGCCGAATTATTATTGCTAATAACTAAACTGTTAGGTTTCTCACTTTTACGATCTAAACAATTATAGTTTTTTTTAAGGATTGATACACCATATTTAGAAAATTTAGGTGCATCTTTAGAAGCATTTCTACTGTTTGTTGCAGCCGAATTTTTTAGTTCTTTTTGGGAACTAGTAGAATCTTCAGTGATACTAAGTTCATATGTTTTGTTAATGAGATCATTTTTCTCTGGACTGTCCAAGTCAATTACTTCATCACAAATCAACTTCTCATCACTATTACTATCTAAGTCAATGCTATTTTCATTTGATAAACTATCACACATAACTATATTTGCAGGTTCAACTCGTAATTGCCCATCATTTAATTTAAAATGGCTATACACTTTAGGTGTGGTAATAATTGGTTCAGAATTAGGTACAGGCATTGGTAATAGAGCAAGTTTTGGTTGAACACTGTTAGTTGTGGATGTTGCTAGTCTGTTTGTTGTTAGTTTTGGCATAGGTGCCAAAACAAATTTTTGTTGTGGATTTTGTGAGGGAATAAAAGTATTGAGTTGAGGTATATGAGGCAAGTTCAAGTTGTTATTATTCAATTGTATAGAACTTAAAGTTTTATTGTCGTTTAGTTTAGCATTTGGTTTTAACATAGTTAAAACACCAGCAATTTTTGTGGTTCCAGACACTGAAACAGGTACCAAAGGTACCATATTTCCTTGTGGTTTATGGATAACTAAAGGATTGGGTCGTCCAGTGGTAAAAATTACATTTTGTGTTGGAGCAATAGGAATTGATGTAGTAGAAACCGAATGTTTATTAATATTAGAACCTATTGGTGTTAACTGAAATTGTGGAATATTATTTACAATAACATTGCCAGTGGTTTTATTAACTGAAGCAAAAGGAGTTTTTGAATTATTTTGGATATATACAAAAGGTACAACTTGTGTTTTCATTGTAACAGAAGGATTAGAGGTGGGTACCAAGGTTGGTAGAGTTGTGGCTGGGTCAGATTTAGAAATTGTCACATCAGGAGATTTATTTTCTATAATGAGTTGACTGTTGTTTGAATTTATGCTTAATTTGGAATTATCCAGCTCTTCACATGTAATGGTTAACTCTGTAGATGTAAGTGAAGACATTTCTGCAAAAACCATAAATAATAAAGTAACTTTTTGAAAAATTTCACAATACATAATATAAATATTGAATCATATCCCAGTTACTATTCACATATCTTTATATAAGGTGCACATTATTTGCGACAGAAAAATATTTCATATGAATATGAAGTACGGGGAATTGCAATAAATATATAAAAGATTAGTTCAATACAGATATAAAAGTCCTTGTCTGACGGTTGTGAGTGTCTACTACACCTCAAAACTTTTATATTTCATAAAATAAAACTGATGGTAAAGATTGTAAGAAGTACAAAACTGTGACAATAAAACTAAAATATATTCATAAATACCTTTAGATAATATCCATTAACACCACACAATTGTAAAACTTTAATTTTGTTACGATCAAAAACTATTCATGAGATTTTCACAGAATATCTATATTAATATCACTGCGCATGACTGTGAGAGAGGGGACTCGATTTCCCTAAAATTAAGTTTCGCGCGTTTACGTATTTCAAAATATTTTATTGTTTTAAAAGTAAAAAGCCACATAAAAAATATTTCTGTCTGTTTTATACTCATCAGTACTTCACTATAATTCATAACCATTAAATTACAATAAGAAACTAGAATTTTCCTTTGCCAATATCGAAGATTTGAAAGTGCCACCATTTAGGTATATTTAATCTACACCACTTACATCATAGGATGAATAATATAAATACTTCTGTGGTATTTTCCTTAAGTGTTAAAAGTGCCACCGTAATTCAATAAAAATAATTTTCATTCTACAAACTTATTAACGAAGCATATTATAAAATTAAGTCATACATTAATTCAATCAAAAGAATTATGTGCATTTAGATAAATAGGAAATGGATGCCATTAGCAGTTTATGTATAATACCAAAGGTGTCAAAATATTTTAAAAATAACTCTTTAAAATGTTAAAAGCTGCAATACTACTACATTCTAGTACCATTAATCTATTCCAGTGTAATTGTGTAACGAATATAAAATGATATTTCAAAATAGTTATTTTTTTGTAAAATTAGTAAAGCAAAATATGGTTGAATAATAATTTGATTGTGCCTAAACCACCGAACAACTAAACCAAGATCTTCGCTGACACCGCAAAATTATTTTTTCCTAGTTTATATTAAAAGTTCTACTTTATGTGTTTTACACAATATGTACCTTATAATGCAAAATCAGCTTATATTTTTTTTTCCTTTCATAAATATTCAGTAAAGATGAATTGGAAGTTTAAATTCTTTCATAAATCAAAGCATATTTAATAATTTTTGTTACATCCTAAAAGTAATCTTCAGGTAATGTATATGAAATAAGTTATGTGTGTATGTTGTATAGCACATAATCTGATAATTTTACAATAATAAATAAATAAAATACCTGAACTGTTGTAGATAAGCTACAGCGTTTGCGCAGCACCGAACAACGTTGCCAAGATGTCCAATAAGAACTTATTTATTATAATATTATATCCATAAAATAAATTAATAAATAAGATAATTTAAACATTTTACACTGATAAACATTAAGGTTCATAGATTCGTTTTTTGACAAGGTTACTGAAATGACATTTGTCATCTTAATAAAGAAGCGTATTGAACTATGAGAACAATTCGAAAGATAACACAATGTAAATAATTTAGAAAACATCTTACTTTAACGATGACGATAAGAAGTAATTATTTTTTCTATTCTACCTCATTCTTAACTATAGGCAACCAAAATTTCAATACAATTTTTAATTAAAAGGCTCATTAACTTAATTGGATTTAAAAAGTTTATCGACGTGACAGAACAGTTATCAATGTTCGCCAAAATCTTGCCCGTTTTATAGGTTTGTTTAGCTCGTTTTCTTGATTTCCTTGGTTAACGTTTTTTTTTAGATACCTGTATCTCTTATTTATTTGTTGTAGTACACGGTTCATTATCCCCTCATCTGCTGACTAATACTCTTATATTAATTTCTTGCTAGGTGTGGTCTTGCTGTAAATTTTAGTATTTTTTTATTGATTTTGTTGAAAACTATTAAAAATGAGAAAATTATCATAACATGGCACTCGTTCATAAAAGGGTTTAATAAAGGCTAATAACGTTAGTGTTTACAGTAGAAAATCTGCACATTTTTTACCAAAGCTATCGGTAATACTTTTTAGTTCAAGAAAATAGTATATATTTATGTTTTTATTGTGTATTTAGTTCTTGTATACGATTATAAATGTGTACTTAGCATTAAAAACAGAATGTGGCTGAAGATGCAGTTATAGACGAGTAGGTACACTACTAGAATTCATTCGGATATTCCAGAAATATCTCTCTTATCGTCCAACAGATATATGGATAGGCTGTACTTGAAACGTAACAATGAAAAATGCGTCAAACAAACCCTTGGTACCTATAAGGGAAAAATGTACTTGTGGCACAATTTTTGAATTTAGCTGATGAAAATAAATACACTGGTCTTCCTCTTCCGCCGCTGTACACTCTATGCAGCATGTAGGCGTTGCCAACAAGGACGTTTTTGATATTTAATTGAATGTTTCATATTCCAACATGGTAAAATTTTATAACTATTAAAAAAATAACTAGAACTATTAAATTAACTAAATATGATATAGGTATAGGTACCGTTAGTTTTAGACCGGTAAATTAACGGTACCTGAAAATTCGGGAATTGCCTACATCAATTCAATATTTTGATTTAAAATGAATCTTAATTATATGTATTTTAACTGTTATTGGATATAAAAAAGTATAGTTTTTTTTTACATTAATAAAAGTAATCATAAATATCGAAACGGTGATGTTTTATTTTCTACAAAATATCATCTTGACTGTAAAGACAGTAAAGTAAAGACAGTAAAGACATTTATTCCCAAGTTTATGTTTCAATGTTATAATATAAATAAAATAGTGGTAATTGGTGACTTGATAGGTCATGTATTATTAAGGCAGTAAGTTCTAACAGTTGCTTTATCCATTTTCAATTTTTCTAACGCTATAAGTGTGCTCGTGTAGTCGGTTTACTATAGGTTTGTTCTAGCAAACAGACAAACTAGTCAGAAACCGTCAGCAAACAGTTGTTCAGCGAGAGAAAATAATACAGTCACCAGTGCTATATCCCCTCTACTCGCACTGGTCCACTATTCGCTGATGGTTTCAAACCATTTGAAACTGATGCTAGAACAAACCTTATGTTTAACAATCCGACAATAACAAAAGCACTCCATGAGTAATATGAATAAACACTCTAACCAAAGAAAACAACAAAAGAATCCTTCAAAGTATAGTGATGAATATTACCCTATATGGAGCGGAAGTATGGACAATGACAAGATCAATAAAACAGAAAATCAACAGAATTGAAATAAAAATAGTTGAATTGGACTTTCTGAGAAGATGTTTACAAATTACTAGAGCGGTAGAATAAGAACAGAGGAAATATGGAACAAAATGAAAGTAGAATGCTCAATTACAAAAAAAAAACCCGGTATAAGAAAGACCTGCTATAAGATGGAAAACACATTGGAAATACTATGATAGATATCGACCTCAGAGAAGGTGGCTGGGAAAATAGAGTGTTATGGAGGACGAAAAGTCGAACTCATAATGGGAAAAATTTAAAGAAGAACATTTATTACTATTTTTTAATGAAAAATTGTCGTTTCTAAATAATAATTTCTAGTAGTCCTACAATTGGTGAACTGAAGGGAATGCGCAAGCCGAGCAATAAAAATAATCGGAAAAAAGAGGAATAAATTAAAACAAAAACAATTATTGCTAATAAATTCTTAAATAAACAACTTTATTAGGTATTGTTTTATTGCAAACTCTTAACTTTTATGGTTTATGTAAAAGAATGGCTGTAAAAAATATTATACTTGTTCCAATGGAATTTTCCAACGCAATAAAATTCCTATGCAAGAAATATGGCGATTTCATAAAGAATTGACTAAATACAATTTAATTTTTCAATTAAAGAACTCTGTCTGGGTATTATTCAGGTATGTGGTAAAATGTGGGAATTCCTCTCTTATGCGATTGTCGCATGCGTTCAAAGCAAGCAGCAGTCGCAAGCGATTAACACACTGGTTGGACACTGGACAGTCTCTCTTTGTACGATAGAACAGCTGATATTGGACTAAACAGCGGGAATTCTGCAAAAACAAAAATGAAGCATATTTATACAGAGATACGTTTATTTTCATATATTAAAAGAGCAAGAATTTTAAGCATTTTAAAAATGATGTGAGATAACTTTAAAAAGTTTCCTCACTACCTTTTTTAACACGTGTCGTTAACCTACAAACCGTCAATTTTTTAGTATTTTGTCAATTGGTCACATTCAGTCGCTGCAGATCACTGCTATTATATACAGTCAATGCAGCAGACGCATGCGATTCCTTGCGTCGGATGCATAATGCACGCCATACACACTACGGTTTACCGGAGAGGTCTACCGGTGCAGGCATGCCTGCGCAGGTAGACCGTAACGTGTGTGGGAATAGACCTGTGCAGTTTTTTGAACCTGCACAGGCAACCGGAGCAAAATCAAAAATCAATTTTTTCGAGTGACACCGTACGATGTACCTGTGCGTCTGTGCGTGTACTCCGGCCGCCTGCGCAGGTCGCGTCAGTTGTTTTCTAATGTTTCTCTGGGAAAGTCGTCTTGTCGTTCACATCGTGTTGTCACACCACTCTTTAATTAACCCCAGAAAATGGTGCCACCAGTTTCAACTAAAAAAACGCTTGAAGAATTTATCGAAATTTGTGTAACAATAAAACACTGAAAACTTCGTTTTCAAACTTCCTCAAAATTTATTTTAAAACTTATCACTACAGCTGTTTCGGCTGATTGCCTTTCTCAAGTGATCTATTTTTGGCTTGGGTTTACAAATTTATAGTCTCTAATGAAATAGGTTGAGGAGGGGAGAACTGTTTGTCTCAAGTTGGTCATTCAGAATTATATCTGTGTTTTTTAATTTGTTGATTTCCATAGATTCTAACAAAGATAGCTTAAGGCCTTTATTTTGAATGTGAAGAATTTTAAATTTGTTATTAAAAGAATGATTATGATCTAGAAGGTGAAGTGCATATGTCGAATCTGTTTTTCTATTCTTGAAAGCCCTTTTATGTTCTGTTATTCGTTTATCAAAGTTTCTACCAGTTTGACCGATGTAAGTTTTTGGGCAGTCGCCACATTGAAGTTTGTACACACCACTATTTAAGTGTTTTTTATTTTGGCTCTTGTTATTTTTAATATATTTGCCTAGGTTGTTATTTGTTCGGAAAGCTGGTGTTATTCCTTTCTTTTTTATGTGTTTGGCAATTTTTCTTGTTATTTTGCCTGTATATGTAATCGAGCAGAAGGTACTGGGTTTTTTCTCTGGTGGTGAAAATACTAATTTCAGGGCTTTTTTGTGTAGTTTTTGATTTAACATTTTATTAATTGTTTGTTCGTTGTATCCGTTGTTTACTGCTATTTGCTTAATTATAGTTAATTCTGTCTCAAAGCTGTATTTTGACATCGGAATTTCTGTTAATCTATGTAACATACTATGATAAGCTGCCAGTTTATGTTGTGTCGTTGGATGGGATGATGATGATATTTCCACCACCAGAGAAAAAACCCAGTACCTTCTGCTCGATTACATATACAGGCAAAATAACAACAAAAATTGCCAAACACATAAAAAAGAAAGGAATAACACCAGCTTTCCGAACAAATAACAACCTAGGCAAATATATTAAAAATAACAAGAGCCAAAACAAAAAACACTTAAATAGTGGTGTGTACAAACTTCAATGTGGCGACTGCCCCAAAAACTTACATCGGTCAAACTGGTAGAAACTTTGATAAACGAATAACAGAACATAAAAGGGCTTTCAAGAATAGAAAAACAGATTCGACATATGCACTTCACCTTCTAGATCATAATCATTCTTTTAATGACAAATTTAAAATTTTTCACATTCAAAATAAAGGCCTTAAGCTATCTTTGTTACAATCTATGGAAATCAACAAATTAAAAAACACAGATATAATTCTGAATGACCAACTTAAGACAAACAGTTCTCCCCTCCTCAACCTATTTCATTAGAGACTATAAATTTGTAAACCCAAGACAAAAATAGATCACTTGAGAAAGGCAATCAGCCGAAACAGCTGTAGAGATAAGTTTTAAAATAAATTTTGTGGAAGTTTGAAAACAAAGTTTTCAGTGTTTTATTGTCACATAAAATGAATTTCCATCAAGTAATGGTCGAATCCATCAATTATTTATCGAAATTTATAGAATTAATCCATGTCTTTGGAAAATCAAAAACAAAGATTACAATAATCGAGATGAAATAATTGCTGAGAATTTTAAATCTTCATAACTTCTTCCAGTTGCGAAAAATCTCAACGTAACTAATAATCTATCATGTGCAGAAATACTATTTCTCATAACTGTGTCTTTCTTTTTTGTGATAGGAGTAACCATTTCAACTAATTTAATGTATGTTTTCTTGTCCATCCAGAGATAGTTTTTAAAATCTTCTGGTTCAAATTTGAATTCATTCAATAAGTTAATACGACTGTATGTTTTCCTTTTCAACAACCAATACTTACACCACTGTTTTCGCTTATTTTTTACTGTTTTTTTTTAAACTTTTGTCTTTAAAATTAAAACAAGGCCTAACAATGCCAACGCGCGCTAAAGGAACTGAAGACCGCACCGGTACACCGGAGAGTCCCCATACACGCTACCGCTGTTTCGTTGACCTGTACGGGCATACCTGCATAGGTAGACCTCTCTGGTAGACCGTAGTCTGTTCTGTATGGCGTGCATTAGGCGGTTTAGTCAGACCGCTCGTATAAAGTTACTATTTGACTAGTGCACAGTACGTCGCTTGCGACTGCTTCTTGCATCGAACGCATGCGACCACCTTTCTTCTTCTTCTTAGGGTGCCTGTCCGTTCCGAACGTTGGCGATCATTCTGGCTATGATGATTTTGTTGGTTGCTATACGAAATAGCTGTGTTGAGGTCTTTCTACACCATGCTCTCAGATTAGCAAGCCAGGATATTCTTCTTCGTCCTGGGGCTCTTTTTCCTTCAATTTTACCCTGCAACCACCTTTACTAGAGTGCAAAATATTTGTAAAATCATCAAGTTACCGGGAAACCCCTGAAGACCGTCTCGATGGTAACACTACGTCAAAAAATATTTAAACAGAAAAATTAATGTTAGAAAGTATATTAAAAATCTAAAATGTCTGAGTACCAGAGGCACATATGAAATTTATAGACGGCATATACTAATCAGAGGCACATATGAAAGTAAAATATCATTTTTCTGAGACATTTTTATGAACCGATTTTATCCCTTCTACTGATGCTTCTTCGAAATGCATAAGACTTAAATCAAATCCTCTAAGAGTCAATAGAAAGCTGAGGCTATTGCGAAATATACATTACCTACATACGATCAAAGAAAAGGCTTTTTATAAATAAAATTTCGAATCGTGAAATAGCTAAAATTTTTACATGGCTAGAAGATCTCCACTATAAAGTTTCTAATGAAATATCATCTATTTTTGTACTATTATTTTTGCAATCAATCTTTAAATGGTTTCGAAAAGGTTCATATTTTTCTCGAGCGACGGTTCCAGGTCAGAATAAAATTTTTACCATACTAGGCATGCTTGCTAAACGGTGTCTGGAAAAATCACCTGCATTCATTAAATCTTTGGAATTTATATTCCCAGTAAGTCGTTAATTTCTGATTATTGTCGTTAATTTTACGACCGAATAGTCCTCACGTATAATAACCGTTACATGTGCAAAGTTACAGAAAAACTTTATTCTGTGAACAGGTAAGAGATTTTTGTATCCTAACGTATTATTTTTGCAGTAATAATTAATCCTTTCAGTAAAATGGCATCTAAAAGACCCTTGTCCGTATGGCCATAAATGGTCGGCTAAATTACCACTAAGATGTAAAAGAACTGAGAGCGAAAATATTATTATTTTTTGACTGGTAGTATAAGAAGAATTCACAATAGAAAATCATTGGAACACCATAAGCACTATCATACTAAACACGGCACAAGAAGTTCTTGGAACAAACACTTAACGGAGAGAAGAACAGTGGTTCGATGAAGAATGCAAACAAGCTATTCACGAAAGAAATGAAGCACATAAGAATTTCATACTCAGACGAACTAGAGAGAGAAGGACAGAATTTGAGAATAAAAGACGAAGAGCTGATAAACTATGCAGACAGAAAAAGAGACGGTACGAAAACAACAGGATACTAAACATAGAGAGGGCGTTCAAGGAAAACGAAACACGCAGTGCATACCAACTTATCAAACATTTAAGACAGGGTTACAAACCGAAGACTAGCCTATACAAAAATAAGAATGGGGAAATAATTAGCGATATGGACGAAATTAAGAGAACTTGGATGATGTATTTTAAGGAATTATTAAACGAAAGGGCACAAACACCACTACAACAACGGCAGCAGCAGGTAGAACAGGAAGGTCAACAACAGGAGCTGTGGGAAGATGGAGAAGATAATGAATTGGCTAGACCTCCAACGCTAGAGGAGGTTCGAACAGCAATCCAAATGCAAAAAAGCCATAAAGCGCCGGGAATAGATAAGATACCGGCAGAACTGTTCAAGCAGGGAGGAACAAATTTGACAGAACAGATGTACCAGCTTATACAAGAAATATGGACAGAAGAAAAAATCCCACAACAATGGAAGAAAAGTATAATCTGCCCTATTCATAAAAAAGGAGACAAACTGTTATGCCAGAATTATAGAGGCATCTCCTTACTTTGTTCGGGATACAAAATACTCACAAACATTCTTAATCGAAGACTTCAACCCCTCACTGAAAAAATTATCGGGGAATATCAAGCAGGGTTCAGGCAAAATAGATCTACTATTGACCAACTATTTACAGTTAAACAAATACTAGCCAAAGCATGGGAATATGACATAGACGTCTACAATCTCTTTGTAGATTTCAAGCAAGCCTATGATTCAATAGATAGAACAATACTACCTAATATATTACAAGAATTTGGCATACCATCAAAATTAATAAGACTAGTGCAAATGACAATGACAGAAACAGAAGCACATGTATGTATTCAAGGACAGATCACTGATGCGTTTATGACAACGCAAGGACTGAAACAAGGTGACGGACTGGCTCCAACACTTTTTAATCTTGTTCTTGAATATGTAATTAGACGGTTGACGGTAAGCAGAAATAACATACTTACAAACAAATCTACCCAATTAGCAGCATACGCAGATGACATAAACATAATGAGCAGAACAAAGACTGCGGCAGAAGAAACCTAAGTTCAGTTGAAACAGAGTTCAGAAGTTGTAGGGCTAACAATAAATACAAATAAAACAAAACTACTCATACAAACCAGATCAAATAGACAGGCGCAACAACAACAATTTATAGACGATATAGAATACGTGAATAGATTCACGTATTTAGGAATGGATCTGGTCGAAAATAATGAAGAAGAACCGGAAATAAATAGAAGGCTTATGCTGGCAAACAAAGCCTATTTCGCGATGGGCCACATATTCAAATCGCGAGACGTACACCGGAAAACAAAACTCCGGATATATAAAACAATAATCCGACCAATAGTAAGTTATGGGTGTGAAACATGGGTTATAACACAGAAATCTACCAATGCATTAGACGTGTTCGAAAGAAAAATATTGCGTAGAATACTGGGTCCAATAAAGGAAAATAACAACTGGCGAATTAGATATAATAACGAAATATACGAACAATACACTGAACCAACACTAGCACAATACACTAGACTGCAGAGATTACGATGGGCAGGGCATGTGGCCCGCATGTATGAGAACAGAATCCCCAGAAAATTACTAAACGCAAGAATGCAAGGAAAAAGACCTGTTGGAAGACCAAAAAAGAGATGGGAAGACGAGGTAGATGAGGATGCCAAAAATCTCGTTCATGGAAACGCAGTAAATAGAGATGTTTGGAGAGATTTAATGAAGGAGGCCAAGGCCCGGCTTGGGCTGTAGTGCCATTGGATGGATGGAAGTATAAGAAACGCTGCAGAGTGTATAACTATTGAAGATCACTTCTTGCATTTTATTTTTAATTATATAATCGACATATCTTTTGAACATGCGAATGAAAAAATTACCAGACAATGTACCAAGCTTCTCTGCAGTAAAAAAAACAATCCTAACGTCAAACGTATGTTTGATGTAACGCTTTTTGGTTCATTCTATAGATCCTGCATTTATTACGAACGATTTAAGTTTTTAGTTAATTGTCTTAGATTTGAAGATAAAGAAAGTAGAAAGGAAATAAAGAAAGATGACCCATTTGGTCATATACCTGACGTAAGAGCAAAATTCATTGAGACTTGCAGAATGTCATTTATAAGCCATAATCTTGTTGTAAAACGTATAAGATGTTTATACCCAAGAAACCTGCCAAATATGACATAAAGATTGTAATGATTTGCGACTCTTTATCAAAGTAACTAGTTGAGGCTTGTCCATATTTATTAAAGAATCATATAAACTTTACTATGTTGAAAACAATAAAAATAAAAACAAAAAAGGGATATCCCAGAACTTTTAGGAAGACAGGGAAGAAATCCCAAAACTTTAATGCTTTGTTTTAATAAAGGTGAAAACGTTGGCATGAAGGGCCAGAAATTTCTAAAGAGAATGGTAAATCAGCGATTTTAAACTATAATAAAACTAGAAGGAATTCTCTTTGCTAGACATCGGGACCAACTTTATTTTAAGCATAACTTACTAATTTTGATGGTAGAAACTTTTTTATAAAACAAAAATAAAGCTTTTTTAAACACGTTTTATTGAGTTTTCCCCAAAAAGTGCTTGATTTTTTGGTTATTTTACGTTAAAATATTCGATTTGGAATTTGACAAATAAGAACCAACTTTCCATGAGCTACAACTCTGCTTGTACTGGGTCTACAGTCTTCTGTAGCTGCAGTTTTTTATAAGCTACATTTCTTATTAGAAATTTTTCGACAAAATAATTACTTTTTGTGGTATTTGTGAAAAACCGTCTGAAAACTTTGAAAAAACATTATCATTTTCACTCGCAAATAACTCAAAAAGTATTGACTTAGCCACAACAATATATAAATTTATTCATTTCCGAACTTATTTTAAATGTATAGGTACCTACTTTTTCATTCCCGAGAAGGGGTAGCTTTCACCTCCCAAGTAAAAGCAACCCTGGGCTCAAATCCAAAAGTAGAGGGTAAGAGGAATCTAAATTCAAATTTTCAAACAAATTCGATGGGACGAGGAAAATTACACTCTAAAAAGGTCATTTACTGGCTCATTAGTAGTTATGTATAATGCTACAAATACTTTTGAACTTTCTTCAACGATTGATTTTTGTTCAGATTTTTAAATGATTCAAGTAAGGTTTCGATAAAAAGTTTAATAGAATTATTTCGTTAGCTGATTATTCCTAAATTCGTTTTATTGACTATAAAAATAATAGTAATTAATTTTTTTCTCTTTTTATTTAAAATGTCGTCTTGGCAACGTCGCTGCAAGACTTAATAGTGGAGAAAACCAAAACAGCTGGTTTCTACCCCCCACTTCACCACCGTTCACACAAACATCAATCCTAAATATCACAAATAAAACATAGCAGTTGACTTGACAAGTACTGGTTTGAAAGAATTTATATATGATTGTCCTCAATAATTAGTGAAATCATTAGTTTTGAGTGTGATATACATTAGTAAAAGTTTAAATGCATTGAAAAGTGTTTTAAAAGAACAAATACGTCCATTTTGTTGAGGTACTTTTGTGTTGTTTTCTTTGCTTGTTATTGACGTAGAAAGTAAAATGTCAGGATTTATTTCAGTCAACAAATTTTTTTAGACAGCCAAAATGGGTGGCGTTGTTAGTTCTGGTCAGAATAATGATGACCTTATAGACAATTTACTTGAAGCAGACTATATAAAGACGCCAATAATTGAAAGAGTTTTTCGTGCTGTTGATAGAGCCGAATATTTTCTCCCCGAAGGCAAATCACACGCTTACAAAGATTTAGCATGGAAATGCGGCAATCTCCACTTATCGGCCCCATGTATCTACAGCGAAGTAATGGAAGGTCTCCGGCTAGAACCAGGTTTGTCATTTTTAAATCTTGGGTCAGGAACTGGCTACCTAAGTACAATGGTAGGACTTATTCTTGGTACTTATGGAGTCAACCATGGCATAGAATATCGTCGTGATGTAATATGGTACGCCAACAAAAAACTTGAAGACTTCAAAAGACATTCAGGAGCTGTAGATGAATTTGATTTTTGTGAACCCAAGTTTGTACAAGGGAATTGTTTGTGCCTTACCAGTGACTGGAATGCTCAATATGATAGAGTTTATTGCGGAGCAGCTTGTCCGGAACAATTTGAAAGTTATATGAAGAATTTACTCAAAGTTGGTGGTATACTTGTCATGCCTTTGAATGATCAACTGATGCAAATTAAACGCAGCTCTACTACATATTGGGAAACTACATCTCTGCTGCCAGTTTCTTTTGCTTCACTAATCCAAGTTGTAAATGAACAAGAGGTCCAAATGAGTAAGTTTATGCTTTTTTTACATAAATAAATAAGCATATCTAGTTATTTATTATTCCATAATTTAAAACATATCTTGTGACTCTTTCAATAACTTTTTTGTTGAAATGGCTGACAATATTATAAAATCCCTTCCAAATACACCAGACGACACAACTTTGAACTATCAAAAACTTCTAGCTTTTCTGTCTCTAACCAATCAACAAGAAGTATTAGTTATAAAAACATTAAAAAATTCAAATTGTTTGGATACTAATGAGCTAAATACATATTTTATCAAAAACACTAGTGAAATAATTACTAAACCTTTAACACATCTCATTAATAGTATTTTTTCAATCAGGATATTCCCAACTTCATTTAAATGCTCCAAGATTGTTCCTATTTTTAAAAAGGGGCGAACGTGACCTTGACCAATTTCCATCATTTTGATATTCAGTAAAATTATCGAAAAAATTCTGAAGAAGCGTCTTATATTGTACTTCGAAACAAATAATTTTTTTACTAGTTCACAATATGGGTTAGAAAGGATCTGTTTTCTAAAATATTTGTACATGTTTAAAATATTTATTTGTACCTACTTTTATAAAAACTCTCCTGAGTAATATGATTTTAAATGATATTTTTATTTACATTCAGAGGATATTATTTATATATCAATTAAGTAATAAATTTTATTTCAGTTTAAACAAAATAAGTGGTAAGAGTGAATCAAATTACTTACTATACTACTACTATAGCTTATTATTCAAGATATTTAACAATTCTCTCTATTACTTAAATCATTGCATAAATTCTCAAGGATATGAGAAGATATTACATTCCATCTAAATATAATAACTGAAGCAAGCTGTTAAGGGCAGCAAAAACATACTTAATCAGATAAATCAGACCCGGGAAATTACAGAGGTATTAATTTATTAAACACAATACTTAAATTAAGAACCAAAGTGATGACAAATAAACTGAATGAAATTATAATACTAATAAAAGAACAACAAGGTTTTAGGTTGGGCAGATCATGCACAGGTGCTATATTTATAATTAGGCAAGTACAAGGAAAATCGTTAGAATACAACAAACCAGCATGTTTACGTTTCCTGGCACTTAAGAAGTCATTTGACTGGGTCAAATTAAAATGTTATCTTATTAAAAATTATTAAAAATTATCAAATGTTATCCACTTATTGTACACAAGAGAGATACCTTTAGGAATAATCAAAACAATCGAAAATATCTACCAAAACAACAAAAGTAAAAGTAGAACTATCTGACAATGGAACAACAACTTACTTGAGGCACATTGAAAAACAGAGAGTCATGTCTACATAAAAAGAAGAAGAAGAATTCACCATGCCTTGGTGAATGCTCATATTATATATACACAGGTTACACAGACTAAATTGACTATAACAGAGTTCAAAACAGAAGTCGATATAGAACTACTGGGTGAAATGTCCGCTATTGAAACTAATATCAGAGAACATACGAACACAGAGAAGCGACACGAGGCCCGGAATTCGTGTATCTTTTCTGTATACGCATGACCCAAATAAGGTGCTTTCCTGTCAAAAACACGTGCGTTTTCTTCAATTTTAAGTTGCTTACGATAGTCCGTAGGCATCTGTGGTAAACTCTCGACTATACAAGTGCATTCGACCATTTATCTAATTATTTAGTAGTTAAAAGTTTATAGTTATAGTTTATAGTTATAGTTAAAATATATAAGTTAAATATATAAGTTTATAGTTATAGTTTATAGTTAAAAGTTTAATTTATAAGTATTTAAAATGTCTTCTGGTTATTGTTGTGCGTTTCGCGGATGTTCATCTGTGACAGGAAAAGGAATAAGTTTATTTAGATTTCCTAAGAATAATAACAGGTAATTACTATTGCTTTGTAATTATTATTAGTTATTACATAATAGTATTAATTTGACTTTGAGTAAGCCGACACCGACGTGTCCGCCCGAGCTCTCGTTAAGTGAAGCAATAAAAAAATAAATTTTGGTTTGCCAAGGGATAGTTCAGAATAAAAACCAGAGAACTACGAACACACATTAAATTTATTGTCTCCGAAGGCTCAGGTCAAAAAATCAACACAGATGTTGGCCTACTGGTGTGAAAGCGCTCGCAGACAACAATACGAATATAGTATTTTTAGGAAATAAAAATATATAGAGGGTTTTATACACGAGAATATTTGATTTAAACGAAACAAAGAAATTCCTAAAATGCTCAAACTAAAAATTGTTGGAAACATAATTAGATCGAAAATTGGGAAAATCTTAAAATTATAACAGAACAAGACTTCAAAATAAAAACATGATTGCAAATAAACAAACTTACATTAACATAACTTCAAATATTTGCTGTCTTTTTCACCAAACAAACTTACATTAAATTATGAAAAAACTAAATGCTCATCTACTTTTTGCTATATACAAAAGTTGTCTGTCAATGTTTAATTCGTTAAATATAAATAACAAAGATCAAATATATGGATCGGAGTACACACATATTTAGGGAATAAATATTTAAATGGGAATTACAAATAAAAAATATTAAAACTTTATTTATTGTATATCTCAATATTTAGTGACAATTTTGAGACTTAATTAGGAGAAAACTGTAAATTTATTAAGATGAGATATTGACAAAAGTTAAATACTTCATTACTTACAATACACTTAGAATATACTAATACTCTTATAGTTGTAAGTAATGAAGTATTATTTATAAATACAAAAAAACTCTTTTCTACTAGTCAAACCCTTTCATTTGATACCCATATTGAAGTAGTTGTGAAAAAATAAGTAATCCGCTATTGTGTAGCGGCGTCCATCTTGGATATACAATGATACTGAATGTATGTAGTGTATGTATAGTCGATTCGCTAATCTCAGACACAACTATCTAGTATTTTAGTAATTATTTTATTGCGAAAGTTAGTTACATTTTAACAGACTAGAACTGGATGACAATTACTATATTTACAACCAAGCACATATGCCCATAGCCAATATTAAGAGTAAACAGACATAAATCTTACTCCAATCAATCATTATTTATTTACACCGTTATATAATTCCACAACAGACAACGGAAGATTTGACCAATAATTTAAAGGTAAATGCTCCAAATATACATTTTTACTTCAAGAAGTTAAAGGTTACGGAGTACCAAGCAAACTTTAAAGTTTCATATCCATTGGATTATAAAAATGAAGTTCTCAATCCAATCCAGTATCTGGCCTGAAGGTTCAATGGTTCGTCGTTTTGACTTCAAGTATAAGAATTGTACTAACCGCAGTTAACAACAAAACCAGAAATAATTGTTACAAATCCGGCTTAGGCAAACTAGATACTACAAATAATTTTAAAGGCAATACCAATCAACTAAAAATCGTATGTATTAACTCTGAATCTATTGTAAACAAAATAAATTGTATCCAAATATTAGTTTAAACTGAAAGTCTGGATTTACTATGTATATCCGAATCATGTGTAATGACAATAATATAAATTCGTTTTATCTTCCTAATGCTCTCTTGTAATGATTCGTAATACTTTTTTGATTATTTTTTAGGTTATTAGGATAAAGATAATTTATTAGGAAATTCCACGACGAACAAATTATATCTTGTATCAACACAAGCCAAAAAGAATCGGTGTATTATTGTATTATCAACGTCAACATCAGAATAAACAAAAAAGTATTTTCATCTATGGTTCCATCAATACGATTTTCACCATTACTTTGCGTTGTGCGATGTATTTGCAACCTTTTGTAAATCAAAAATAATTACACCATTTAGAATGTCAACAAAAGCCGGCCCTGCATGTAATTATTTTTTCAGTGCAATATTTCATATTTATTGAAAGTCAACATAAATGCTCAATTTTATTTAAGAATTTATATTGTGTAATATGCCCACTGACTATTAAAAAATAAGGTGCTTTCCTGTCATTTTCACTCGTTGGCGGCTTGCCCACGCAAGATCAAAGGAGTGTCGCTTCTCTGCGTTCGTAGTTCTCTGCTAATATCATCTATAACACTGATGTCAGTCATGAGCTTGTAGAAGGAAGAAAAAACAGATGTGTGGTTTGCTACGTCAGAATGAAGAATGAATTGGAGGGGAAGGAAGCTCAAAACAAGTTTTCTCATTCTAAATTTTTGTGCAACCAATGCAAAAAACATTCTATTTTTTTTCTCAACACATATGCTGTTTTAAAAAAATAAGGTGATATATTATTATAATTATTTTTGCAGATTCTGAATAAAATAGAATCTGAATAGAATCTATTTTTTTCATACAGTTTTATAATTTCCATATCTTTTGTAAAAAACCGTCTCATATCTGATCAGGAGATATTATTTTGCTCCTTGGACCACCCTGTCCAACTTACAATGTGATTTATATAACTGTGGGACACAGTTGATGCCACGGTGTCCAGAATACAAAACTGAAGTGTGACATTGGAGTGATGCCTCACTGTCACAAGAGTACTGTTTAGTGAGTTATCATATTAAAATAATAAGGTGATATAATATTATAATTATTTTTGCACATTCTGAATAAAATCTTTTATTTTTTTCATAAAGTTTTATAATTTCCATATCTTTCGTAAAAACCGTCTCACATCCGATCAGGAAATATTATTTTGCTCCTTGGACCACCCTGTCCAACTTACAATGTAATTTATATAGCTATGGGGACACAGTTGATGCCACAGTGTCCGAATACAAAACTGAAGTGTGGCATTAGAGTGATGCCTCACTGACCCAAGAATACTATTTAGTGAGGCATCATATTGATGCCACCCGGGCTGAACGTTTTAATAAATAATTTAATCTCAATTATTATTTATGTTTTCTTAATTATTACATAACAAAAAATATTTTTTTCATAAACTTATAGAGATAGTTGTCAAAATTTACTGAATTCGTCAATATTAAATATCTTCTAACAATCCTTATTATTGTATTAATATCAAGTGTGTCACACCAGTTTCTTATATTTGAACCATGAGTGCCGTTTGTGACAATTATGATTAAGAGTTTATTAAATATGGGAATGTTAAAAAACATAAAATCGTTATTTTTACTAATTTCAGTCGAAGTGGAGCCCCTTTCCCTGCAAGTTTTGTGCCGTTCAGTAATCCGTAACATTTTGAGGAAGAACGTTGAAAAGGAGAATCCCCCTATTAAGAGACAACTTACTGCTAATAAAGCCCCAAAGAAAAAGAGAGCTCTAAGGAGATTGGTCGTCCCTTTCTTTGAATCCGAAGACAGTTCAGACGAGGAGAGGCATAATATCAGACCTTTATGTGGGGTAAGAAATAATTTTACATTTGTGATGGATTCAATCGTTACTTGATGGAAATTCATTTTTTCCATAAAAATACCTAAAAAGTGTTTTGTTGCTAGATTTTAGATTTTAATATATAAACCAATTTTCCCATTTTACAATATTTATGCAAAATCAAAATGCGATTAAGTGTTAATTGTAATTAAAAATTAAATTTTAATTTTAATTTAAAAACAGAAATGTTATGTTTATGTATGTTATATATTTTTTCATTTACAGGCCAGAGTTTTGGAACGTGGACGAGCTGCATTTGCAGATGAAGAAGATGGTTTTCTAAATTTCGTACTGGGCGCATTTAATGATAGAAATTTCGTAGGTAAGTCGAATAATTCTATATCTAATAAATTTAATTATTGCGAGGTACCGCAGACTTGGGATTCCCGTTTTCTTTCTCTATTTCTCCTGCATAGAACTTCTCGAGTTTCAACGATATCAATACCAGTCATCCAGGAAATTATATTCAAATCTATTCTCTGTACTTTTCGTTAAGAGCGGCTAACCAGCGTAACGTATTCCATACTCTGAGCATGGACACAATTTAGTTCAGAAAATTACAAGATACAATGAACGAACGTCCATTGCGAACGCAAATTTTGTTCTTCCTAACTGTCCCAACCGATGTAAGATGATGAATCTGAAGTAAATTAATCATGAGCGGATAACTGGTAATACGTAAATTAATATTACGTTTAGAACCAGAAACTGACCCAATCAAACGCTCAACTATGATTTGCGGATTGTTATTTTGTCGGAAAGGTCCTTCCGGCTGTGTGCCGACGTAAATTTCCATGTTTAGACAGTAGTAAGTTTTAACATACACTAACGCAAATAATTTTAAGCCATACTTCGCTGGCTTATTCGGTATGTATTGAAGAAATGACACATGACCCCTGAATGATTCCAGTTTTTCGTGTATTGTAAGAAGTTGACTTGGTATATAGTGTGTCTGACAGTTGACAACGACGTGATCAAATATAACTCTAATTGCTGCCAATTTGTCGATCTGTTTCCTTTCTACTCTATTTTGCACATTGTCGAATCGCAAACATTGCAACAAAATGGAATATCTTTGTTGTGACATTGTTGTTCGAATGAGATCAATACCGCTGCCATCAGTATTCCAAAGATCTGAAATATTTATTTTGTCGGTTTGACTTGTAAAGTCCCGTCAAATAGAGCAGGCCTATATTAGCTTTGATTTCTATTTTGTCAAGTCTCCATTTTGTTAAGTCCCTTTGACTAAATACTGACGTCGTGCATTGTACCGTGGGGCTTTCGTCGCTAATTTTACATTTGTATAGTCAACAATATCATCTTACATTTCTTCTGTAAAGAATAACAACCAACAATCAAGAACACTCTGCTTTTCTCGTGCTATTCCTTGTACACCAGGTAAATATTATGTAATTAGATTGTCCGACCTTGTTCTCACTTGTTTGTTCTTTGGAAGCTTGAACCACTGTGATTTTTCTTTATCTAAAAAGTATCTCTTACCATTATTCTCACTACCACTTTCTGAACCACTTGAAAATTCACTTTCTTCTTCAGCCTCCACTTCTTCAGAATCCTCGGAGATGCTTCGGCGGTTGAGACACCGGCTAGTTGACGTCAAACTCATTCCAGCGAGATAACTCGTATCTATCTCTACGTTAATGCGTTCAGGTGATATAAGCTTAATGCCTTTGTGGGATACCACCATATTTTATTTTTTTTTCACATCACGATTAGCCCGATAGTAGCAAAGATACGTGTCTAAAGCCCCTTTGGCGTGCTGCCATGTCTAATTTTTCTTTGTCATCCTATTCTATTCTTTATTTACTTACTTAAGTTACATTTTTTGTACTCAGATTTTTTGTACATCATTCATTTTTTATCTCTTTTTTTATCAGAAAGCGTAGGAAAATTAGAAAATATGAATAACATAGTTTAGTGCACGTTAACATAGTTTAGACCAAATCCGGCTCGAAGGACCAATGGAAAATATCGAACTTAGTAATGAAGTTCGTTTCGGTTCGTAAATGCCCCTTTGTCCGCTTCTCGTCGATCGATGATGATAGGGTTAATAAATGTTGAAGTTGTGGAGTAAAAGTGATGATTTATTGACAGCAACTCGTAATTACACAATATGGTGTTCGTGATACATAAGCACCTTAGGTCATTGCTTCGTTCATATCACACCACCTAACTTTTGCTTATAATACAATTTAATCTACGCCTTCATTGCGACACTTAGGAAGTTCAATTAGAAAATATTATTATTCGGCAATTTATTTAGTTGTAGGTAAATGAACTAATTATTAAATTATCATACGATATGGTTTTGCAATATATATAATGCAAACTTATACACGGTGAAACTATAAAAGATTAAGAAGTTAAGAATAATGTGAGATTACAAATTAAGGGGTTAATTTGTGATTGAACAACCAACCACCCACTAACTCCAACCAGCTGATTTTATTCTTTCATTCTCGTCTCAAATAGTACTTTAAATTTTAACCTATGCGCAGAATACGGAATACGTTCTTCCGGATAGTCGCTACTTCCGTAATTAGCATTATTGTCCTATTTATATATAGCGTATCAAACTGATCTAGAGAATAACAGCAGCAGTAGAGAAAACAATACGGAAACGGAGCAATCTAGCGAAGACAATAGAATGGAAACTGATACTACGGAATCCGCAGATGAGCATAAGAAGTCTACAAGAAATCCTGTGATTCATACACAAGCGGTAATTGAGCAAAAACCTACAATAAGTACTAGTAGGAATGAGGCCGACGAAGGACCAAGTAACACGAATACCGAAATGGTGAGTAAACGAGACATCTTTTTACAAATCTACAATAATTTTTTTTTGGTTTTTACATGAATTCTTCGTTATAACTTTTTATCATTTAGAAAGTTTTTGCGTGATTGCCAATATTAACTATCTTTATGATTTAAGCAAGTTATAAATTAAATAGTTAACTAATGAAATCATGAATGTGTTGCTTGTGTGAGTCCATATCAAATAGGTAAAGAAATAATAATAAGACTTACTCACAATCAATTTAATTTAACAATCTGACGACCGGTTTCGCTTTCTACAATTTGCAAAGCATCTTCAGGTCGAGATACAAAGTTAAACTAATGATGCCGGTACTCTATTAATTAATTAATAGAGTAGAGTATTAATTCAATGACGTATAATATATAGACTCGGTGAACGTTTTAAAAAGTGTCCAAAACATGAATACCTTTGTTATTGTTTATTGTTTTGATACGAAGATGCACGAAGTTCATGATTTCTTACGAAGCATCACGAAGTTGATCTTGTGTTTGAAAACATCATGGACGTACTCCATTTTGTGTGACAAGCAAATTTTATTTTAAATTGTTGATAGTTATTTACTTATTATTTTAGTAAAATGCCATACTATTTTATCAAAATAATTATTTCTCTTATAGACGGGAACAAAAAGAAATCATAAATATTTAATTTTAATTAAAAAAATAATTATTGTCATTAACATATAAATGAGCACGCCGCTGTTCTAATAAACATACCTTCAACCTTGAGCCGAGATCTTTCGGACACTCGATTCTATAGCGAGAATAGGGGACTGCGTAGTCTATATATTATACGTCATTGTATTAATTAATAGAGTACCGGCATCATTAGTTTAACTTTGTATCTCGACCTGAAGATGCTTTGCAAATTGTAGAAAGCGAAACCGGTCGTCAGATTGTTAAATTAAATTGATTGTGAGTAAGTCTTATTATTATTTCTTTACCTAGTTAACTAATGATTAGTAAAGCAACGAATATCGACTGCTAATAGCTAAGTGAATGGTTAGCGCAATTTTATTTGCGTGCATGACAATATTGGCTATCTGATCTCTTAAAAGTACTTAACAATAAATTCGGATATCTTTCTATACAAAAATCAATATTTTATATGTATACATAGCGACTCATGCAACGAAAACTGTAATAACTCAATTTTTGTATAAGTGGAGTTACTTCCTCCTTCTGAATTATTCTATACGTAGCTGGAACATAGAATATTGTGGTAACCCACAGCCACCTTTACTTCCAAGCCATGAAGTAAAAAAGGCAACGCCGCATTCTATGACGTCGGTAGTCCGATAATCAGCTGTAAGGTCTACCACAATTAAACTAATTTGAATTTTAGGAAACTGATATTTTGAAAACTTCAATTCATTACAGAAATATTTTTAGGGAAATTAAATTAATAAAACCTTATATATACCTAATAAATATATATAAAGTTTTATTATTATTAAGGTTATATTATCAATAAAATAATCAATAGAGTAAAATTTATTGCACTTAAAATACAGTGTCAAACAGTTAATCTTACAATCAAATGCAGTCAAGAATCTCTAGAAATTTTAAATATTAAGTACTTAAGCATATAAATAACACAATACATTAACACTACATTTAAAAAGATTATTAAAAATACAAAAGATATAAAATTTGTTAAGTAAAAACTTAGTGTAACTATTATGATTAAAAAATTCATCCTAAGAAATCAGACACAATATAAATATGGTTCTAAATTAATCTAATTGAAAATTAAATATTTTACTATTTACTTATAACTTTTGTTGAATTTTCATACTTAGGTATACGAAAGTAGCAATTTTATATATGAATAGGTTTTTTGTCATATAGACCAAGTTAAAAGAGGTATACATGAAAAATGTGTTGAATGTAACATACCATTTATAACTTGTATATGGATTTAAAATAGCCTATATTCTCAAAAGATTTTTGAATGTAATACTCAAATTTGTTATCACTTATCTAAAAAGCAGATCTATATCGAGAAAGTAAGTTCTCTAATTGTGACCATCTTGTTAATTTACTATATTGTAAAATCCATTTCAAATCATTACTACTTAATCTATTCTTACCTACATTGACGATTACACTAAAATTACTGCTAACTATTACACTACTTATTACACAAATATTATCACACTCGTGTCCCAACTGATTAATGTTTAATACATAGAAATATACACAGTCACTTGTAATTTTACTTGTCCAGTTTTTCAATGGGATATTATTGTCTAAGTCTCTTAAAAATGATTCAAATGAATCTATTAAATCATTGTCTAAGAATTCTGTTATCTCTTGTTCCCTCTTCTTATGCAAAAAGTTTCTTCTGTCTTCGGGATTCCTTCTTTCTTTAGTATCGATGAACAGTTACATATGATGGTACTTCAGAAAATATATTAGGAACTGCATTGTCTTTTAATTTGGGAAATATTAACTTTTCAATGTGTACATTTCCATCTTTATCTTCTCATTGTTCAGTCCGCTGAATATCATCTTCATGAAAATGTTTGGCACATACTACGGAAGATTTGGTAATTGTATAGCCTTCTCTATGAATAGAGCATAACCCAGTATACCTTCTTTGGGAAACGAAAACGTACTTTCTGCCTGTTTTGTTTTTAAAGTACTGGCATAATTGGTTTTGCTACCAGGTACACAACAATGCCAGGGCATCTGTAACAAAAAACAAAAGTATTATTATTGTTGTTTTTAGTTTACATATTTTGTAACAAGAAGCAAAAGTATTATTATTTTCAGTTTGTTTTGTAGGTTATATTTATACTTGCCTTTTAAATTGTCGTTAAGAATCTTCTAAAAGTTCTAAACTTAATGAAATTTCACTTATATTAATATTTTCTAATTGATTTAAACACAATTTACAAATAAAACATTCGAATAAAGTTAAAAAAACACTAAATTCAACAAACTTTACAAGCCTTCCTATATGAAATGTTAAACAAAACAAACCACGGTCGGACTACCACGCGTTGTTGCCAAATTTCTACTTCATGGCTTGGAAGTAAAGATGGCTGTGGGTAACCCTATCTTTGCCGTATATTGAGTTACTACAGTTTTCTTTGCAAAATGTCTAGATAGTGCTGTGTCTTCTTTGAGTTACTATTGACTTGCTTGCATTTTCGTGAATAATTTTTTGAGGTTATGCACCTACATAAATATTTGCTTGAGCTTTGTGTGAATAGTGTTTAAAGTTTAAAATACACCCTTGGCTAAAATTAACCGGCCACCTTAAATAATGGATAATTTTTGATTTCTTATATCTCCTAAACCTGTTGTCCGATTTAAGTGATTTTTTTAATATGCTATAGCCTCATTCCTTGACAATATCTTTATCATAATACTGTTGCTAAACAGGTATATTTTCACTGTATACCGGGTGTACGAATCAAACTGTTTGCATCACCCTGTGGCATATTCTAGCATTTGTAAAATACTGAACTTAAATCGTAACTATAGTTTCATGCTTTCTCAACATTTTGTTTTTGATTGATTCGCTTATGTTGGATAATACAAATGTTAAGTGCTTTAACAACTAGAATGTTTTTTTTATCAATTTTTATCTCCGCGGAAGAGAAAAAATAATCTTTTTGAAAAAAGTCATTAGTCGGAGCTCATTACTGCAGTAAAGTTTTCGGAAATGATTCAGTCGCTAGTACGAAATATTACGGACCAGTTATGTGCATTAAAGGTTATCTAACTATGTGATTTCCTTCTCAATTAGTTCATTTATTCTTGTACAAAACCTTCAAATTACTCAATGTTTTGTTTGATTTCTTAGAAATCATCTTCACCTGAAAAATCTTCCCCCACGGCCCATGTCTTGAATGAAACAGTAGAAGAACACACGGTTATAAGCCGGAGAGCAGATGGTGAGGACGTTGAAGAAGAAAGTGGCGAACCACGAGGTGAAACTGCTCCACCAACTGCCGAGCAATTAAATGAAAGTGGTCCGAGTCAGGAAAGAGTTCAAGATGATGGTAAAAAGAATAAAAAAAGGGAGAAAGTCGATAGTGGCTTGGGAGATGAGATAGTCGAAGCTCACAGTGTTTCATCAGATGAAGAAAGCGTTGATGGTGAGTATATTTTACATAAACGGAAAAATTAAATACATTTCTTGACATTAATTTCATTAGCAAAACAAAAATTTTGTTATTTTTCTTTTTTCGTTTAGTTTAACTCCTTCTTCGTTTTCTCCAACTGTTTTATTCCTTCCGAAAAGGAATTTTACCGAAGCTGTAAAAAATATTAAGTTTTAACTATGATCTCATCGCCTGTTCCAAGATTGCTTTTTTCTGGACATTTTTTTTAGTTTGACAAAATGTAATCGTCACATGGGACTAAATCAGGATTTTTTCCTCAAATCTCCAATTTTTGTCAAATAACTGTACCAATTTTAAGTAACCCTACCAGACCGAACCTTAGTATATCCGATATCGCGTTTTGTGTGATCCTGTTATCAAGGATCAGAGCCATTACCATCTTCCTTTAGGCACACTTCTACACAGCCCAACCATGGTAGCTGTGTACAAGATACACAATTAAGTGGCTCCCACTAGTGGGACATGAAACCTTCCTTTTGTCGGTTGATCTCTTAAAATTTGCAATAAATTATACCTCAACCTCAACTATCATTGCATTCCCAAAGTGTTATACATATTAAGACAAAAAAAAACGCTGTATGTTTTATCCTTTTACAGATACTCATTCAAGTAGCGACGACGAAGATGACGCTCAGAAAGAAAAACGCAACAAACGTACCCAAAAGTCCGAAAACAAAAATTTGTCGTCGTTAAAATGGCGCCGTATCGAAACCAATATAAACACAATAGTGACTAATAGCAGCAGCGATAACGAAACCGAGGAACCTAAAGACAACGAGATGAAGATGTATGACAGTCCCTATACGGAACATATTAAGGCCAAAATTCAACAGTTGCCATTACCGACATGTCTAAAAAGATACCTCAATTATTATAGAGAATGTTAGTTAATTCGTTTGTTACTTATTATTTCTTTATCTCTTAATGGGTCAAGGGCCAAATTTAATTAATGTATCATCTTAATATCTACCTTATTTCTGATATTAGATTTTCAACATGTTGCCTAAATAGCAATAATTGAAATTTGAAATTTTATTGAAAGCTTAGCTTGAGAATGGTCTACAGAGGTTTCGATAAAATCCAACTTACTATTGCACGTTTCTAATCTACAGTTGAAAACGAAACGATTGTCTAGTTAAAAAAACCGGCAAAATCCGCCATTACACATTAGTTTCGATTAATAGGTAAAAACTGAAGCGTTGTATAATTGTATAAACTACAAAACATATACTCCTTTGTTAAACAACAACTTGCTATGAAATATTGCAACTGACCGTACGTACTTATTTACTTACTTCATGGCCTTACTGCCAGCGTGAATTTTAGCCGACTTGATAACATACCCCTCTTCCTTTCTGTTTTGTGCTCTCTCCATCCAATTTTCCATGCCCATAGCTTTAAGGTGTCGCCAACGGAGTCCACGTAGTCTTCTACAGTTGGGACTTTTCACATATCAGTCTTACTATTCTTTTGTCAGAATGTCTTTTGATGTGTCCCGAAATAAAGAAATTGCATGTGCCGATTTCAATGACATCGCCGACGTATCAATCTCAGATAAATTGTAGCTCTACGTCCAAAATAATGGACTCTGAAGTGTCTTGGTAATTAGCCTGAATGAAGTAATGACCTTCTTCGTGAAAAGGTGTTAGAATTGGAGCAGAAGTTGGAAAATACAACCAAAAATGAAACACTGAGGTTAGTAAACAAAACCTTTCCACTAATTTTACGCAATCCCTCCAACAGTTATCAAAATCGATAACATGAAGTTTGCAACAAATGACGTGGCCTTTACTGACGAGGATGAAGTTATATCTACGTTTGTAGCAAAAAACGACGAGAAAACGACTGCGCCAGCTGCGATGCTCAATACTTGCGAGGCTAGAGCTGCTTTAAAACCCCATTGCCAGGAAGATTGAAAATCCGAGACGTCGAAATGTACCGACTGTTAGCCACATAACACCTAAAAATAAACATATTCCAGGCACGCCACTGACATGACGTACTACAATATTCACAAAAGGAAGAGGTTAGTACCGAAAATGATTGATGGAAAACGTCTTTTTAAAATAAATGAAGCAGATGTATGTGGGTTTTCTTACTTCCTAATATTGTTGGAGGAGTGTTTACATAGAGAAAAAAGTGATTCTTTAGTTTCAAGGCATGTCCTGAACCCAAATTGCTCGTGATAAAATATTTTCTCACATTTATTGTGTATATTCAGTTGTTTTATATGCTCAATTGAGAGTAATTTCGGCCATTCACTGTATATTTGATCTAGTTCGCTGTCTTTATTGTTTTTGGCTTGGTTTATGGCTCTTTCCACTTCAATTTTTTAATTGATGGTTCTCTATTTAAACTTAAGTTTGGTTTTAAACTTAAACAAGTCGTTAATGTAGTTTTCCCATTCTTCCATTACTTCGTCTTTCAAAGATAGTGGAAGATTCCTTCATAATTCGTCGTTATGGGTATATTCCTCTTGCGCAATCCAATACTTCTTTTATTTTCTTATATGTGTTAAATTCGTCATATTTTCGTTGCAATTCTTCTAATTCTTCACATTTGTCTTGCATCCACGGCTATTTCGCTTCACTGATTTTGTAATGATTAGTGTAACGTAGGATTATTTGTCAATTCTTTACAGTTTTCGCGATTACACTTATACTTGTGGCAGTTCCAAGTTCCAGTAGCGATTTTTTGCAAGTTTCAAATTGCTCTAACGTCACACTTACCATTTCTCTAACGAAGTGGTAGTAACTACAACTTGCCAGTGCTGTCCATGTGTAATACTAGCGGGGTTAATCCGCTGTCACCATTGAAATACTAGCGGAGTAAAATTTACTGTAACCCCTATAACATCCTCGGTTTAAACTTTAAAGGATGCTTATCCCTGCGAGCGGAGGCAAGGCTTACTGGTCCCACTAGTCTGAATTGGCTGGTTCGCCCTCGTGGATTTTCGAGAGGGTAGGAAAATCTGGAAAAAGGGTTAAGGACTTCTAGGTCTCAGGTCCTCTAAAGAGTTGAGTCTATGGGCTGGAGAAATGCATAAGCGGAAATTGTGTACTCAAATAATCTCTGCCTGTAACGGCCGGAAGGAATAATAAAACTAAGTTTCGAGTCTACAAATGTATTAAATATACTGTATACTACAATTAAGTTAACAAGCTGTCAGTTATAACCCATAAAGATTCGTTCAGGCGCGAAGGGAGACGAGAAGAGACCTTAGCAAGAAATTAAAGGGTGGACAATCTGCGTTTCTATATATTACTTGGGTTAGTATATAGATTTAGGTACCTTCGCGTATTTAGGCCCTAGCTAATGAATACGTCCTTCAGTCCTACTGGAATTCAGGTTCAGTTGTAGAGGCACCGCGCGCTATCAAGAGTTTTCGAAACTCCCGCTACCCGGCACTTATACGGTACTATTATCCCGCCGAAATACAATAGCGCGTTTACTTGATCGCCTTGTGGCGCGGAGCCTTCCCGACGCGACGGTTCCACTCTTACTGACTCCCTGGCTCACTTCGTTCGTTTTTGATGAACCCGTATTCTTATTTACCGAGGTCTAGCTTTTGCTGACTCAGTACTCATGCGGTGTTATTCTTTCAACAAAGGTCTCTGTTTTTAAACGTGATTTTTTCTTTTAAACAATTGTTGCAAACTGATATTGAACTCGTGTAATACACTTGAACTAGGTCAAGTTATCATTCTTTGTTTAATTTTAAATGTATACGTTATCTATGTCGAGTTATTTGTTCATTATTCAATTTGGGATATACACTCCGCGTCATAGAATACGGGCCACCCCAAATATTTAAAATATTTTCGAAATTATTATTTATTGCTACAAAATTAAGTATTTATTTTGTTGTATATTGAATTAACATTATTGTATTTTTGATGAGTCATGGGTTGTAGACCGACCCTGTAACTGGTTTGAGGATATTCGTAGAACCTATAAAACAAAACAATTTTGAGAAAAAGTTGTTTACAACTTGATCAATTTTCGAGGAAGCGATTGTTTTGAGAAATGTTTGATATTGTAAAGGGTTCTAATGAGTTTTAAACGCATCTAAGTATTACAGTAGCCGACTTAGTGTAAAGTAGTCTTCAGTTAATAACGATGGAGAATTTTCAAAAATCGGTTGAAATCGCAACGTTACTGGGAAGTGGATTAAATCAAAGACAAGTTGCAAGACAATTGAATGTTGGTCGTTCGACTGTACAAAGTACCCAGCAACGATTTATTGTCACAGAATCTCACCAACGACGACCTGGTACGGGTCCAAAAAGGAAAACAACTAGGGAAGATCGCGTCTTCCTTCTTGCTGCATTACGGAATCGGACCCAAACCGCTAGAATGCTTCAAGGCCATTTACAGCAAGCTCAAGGACCAGCAATCAACCTTTCTACTATTCGGCGAAGATTAAAAGAGCAAGGTTTGACAGCTTGCAGTCCAGCAACGGGACCCTTACTTTCCCCAGCTCACAAAAGTCGAAGACTAGATTTTGCTTGTGAGCACATCAATTGGACAGCAGACGATTGGAAAAAAGTATTGTTTACGGATGAGTGTAGAATGTCTATTTATGGTAAAGACGGACGTAGTAAGGCGTACAGACGAGTTGGAGAACGTTTCGCTGGTTGCACTCGGGTTTCTTTTGATGGTGGTTCAGTAATGTTTTGGGCAGGGATTTCTTTTGATGCGCATACGGATCTCGTCGTGATAGACAGAGGTGCGTTAACAACAGTAAGGTACATAACGGAAATCTTACAACATCATGTGATGCCCTATGCTGGATTTATTGGCAACGAATTCCTGCTAATGCAGGATAATGCGAGACCAAACACGGCAAGGATAGTAACGGAGTACCTTGACGAGGTTGGTATTCAAAAAATAGACTGGTCAGCTCAAAGCCCCGATTTAAATCCTGTTGAGCATATATGGAGCCTGCTAAAAAGTCGCGTTAGGCGTTGCATACCTGTTCCAACAACACCTGGAGAGCTCCAGATGGCACTCATTGAGGAATGGGCCACTTTTCCCCAAAGATATGTCCAAAACGTTATAAATTCCATGCCAAATCGAATGAGGAGTGTCATCCAGAATCGAGGTGGCAATACCCATTACTGAAAATGGATACCAGCTTTATTTTTAATATACAGTTCATTGTTGTTTAAAAACTGTAAGTTGATTTTTTCAATAAATTTTCTATTTTTCTTAAATTTTTTATTCTCAATTGATGTTTTACGATAATGATGAAATTTTATACTTAATTTTGTAGCAATAAATAATAATTTGGAAAATATTTTAAATATTTGGGGTGGCCCGTTTTCTATGACGCGGAGTGTATAATAATTATTTAAATAATTATTACTCTTTTCTAGGCTACTACCCCATATTTTTTTCTCTTTATTTTCTTGTTATGTTTACATTACACATGCAATTCGTATCCTTCATTTGATTTCATCTTATGGTGTTGTCTTAAAGTGATTTTTTTTACCAACAATGTGGTTGTATTGGAAAAATGTATGGTAAATAGTACATCTATCCAAAATAGACAAGATATTTAGGTACAGTATACAGTGGCAACATTTTAAGACCACATTCTAAAAAGAATAAATTAAATTTGTGATAATTAATTAAACAACAAATGGTATTAAGATGATAACATATTTTTAAAGTTTAATAGTTTAAGTGATCTATCTATATTTTCAAAATTTATCGCTGATATCTACCATCGTCATTCCTTGTGATTTATTGTGAAAATTACAATCCAACAAATTAAAGTTAAAGCCTGCATTCGCTGTTAAATAAAATATTTCATCTAATTAAACTAGAAGTTCCGTTAAAAACCGGTTATAGCGCCTGATTGACCCATCTAATCTCAACATATTGTTTAGATTATAGTGAATAGCTGTGTGATTTAGATTAGTATATAAATTACAGTTCACCGATTGTAGCCCGGCAGGTGAGAGAAAGCGCAAGTTTACCAGTGCTATACTGTATGCGCAGCTTGAGAGAGTCACTTACTAGAGGCAATGCTACAATTGGTGAACTGTATATTCAGAATGGACTAAAATTTGGTATTTATAAAGTTCAATTGTTTCTTTATTTGCCAGGAAAAATATTGGATATAAAGATTGTAC